ATTTATTTACTACACTTTTCGGACCGCCTACGAAACTTTGCAATTAAATTTTGAGATACGAAAATTAACTTCCATGCTCAAATATTTATTAAAGTTTTGTTCTTTACGAATTCCCCGTACTTTTTACTTCGCGATTTGAATTGGATTTCTGGAACGACGGGACGCCAGGTGCGAGGTTTCCTTCTTGCGGGAGGTGGCAAAAACGACGCCTTTAATGGACCAACAAAGTTTCGTCCGGGATTGCCCCCTCTGCAGTTAATATTTTACTGGGACCTTAACGTACTTCAATACGATTGGTATTCGATAATGCAAATATAGTGCTTACGAAGTGAATTGGAACAGGGATAAAGATATATTCCCAAATAAATTGTTACTCATATTATAATAAGGATTCACACCTGGCTAACAATATCCCTACAACTTTAGAAGATAGCAATAAAGGTGTATTAAATCGTGTCCTGCTCCGTTGGTATCATTAATAATGATTCAAGTTCTCTTATTAAGCGTACTTTCCAATATTTTAACGCATTTTACCTCCAGCAATAGTACGAGTCAGAAGTCGAGGCAGCTCGCTATTAAAGATTATTGATTTGATACTTGATCCGCCCTGTAATAAAAATTATTGAGGAATTAAATATTTTAAGCAAACGAATTTTTTTGATTGTGGTTTTCTTTCTAGCACATCTATTTCCAATTATAGACGAAAAAAGTGATACAAAAGTTGGTAGGTCCAAAATTATTTTTTTCGGAATTCAATTCCACTATTGACAGCAGCGGTAAAAGTTTGGACACAAGTGGCTTTAAAGAACCTTATTGGAGTCTCCCTAAAATATTTCCTAGCGCACCTCCAGAATGGCTGAGTAGAAACAGAATCGGCCTGAATTTATAAAAAATGCTTGCCGGCACTCGAACTGTTTGCTACGATTTTATTTTTGTTAATCCTGTTATCTGATATTTAATCAAGATTCGTTTTGCTGGGACCTTTTTATTGAATTTGAAAATTATCATTATATCTTGCTCGTGCTTCATTAGAACGGTATTCCATACAATCGCCTAGGTTATGTGTTTATGGTGTTCCAGTTGACTTCGTATAGACGTACAGTGCCACAACTTTCTATGTCACTAATCAACTATACTACGGTAAAAATGAAGGCGAATATATACAGCAAAAATATCCTAGCGTTTTTGCCAATCTCCCAATTTCTTATTTCCGTAACAACTGAAATCAAACAAAATCGACAAAAGAAAACTAGGTGATTAGATGATAGTGCGCGATTCTACGTACTCCACAACGTCATGGAAGTTATCTACACTGAGGGGCGAGTAATACTACTAATTCTTAGTGACGTGACACTAGAGGTCGTGTGTGGTTATTTTTACAGTTGCCAAATAGAACTCTAGAATCGTCAGTGTTTAACAGTTTCTTAGTAGTAGAAAAACTTTTTATCCGTAGTAATATTAACATTGTTCTATATAATTTCGTAGATGCCGATTAAAAAATTTGTTAGTGGTAAATGTATTAGTTTATAGTTAGTCACTAATACATTTACTAAATTGATTTACTAATATTGTAACAATTTAGAATAGATAATAGTTTGTAGCTGACTTAGTTGCGTAGCTGTTTCACATATGACAGTATAATTTTATCGATGGAATTTTTCCCGCTGGATTTAGACAATTTCTTAGAAGCTGTTTAACAAATTGACAGTCCGTGTGGATTAGATTTTAGTCGATGTTTTCTTAGAATGATATTCGAACCAAAGACTTTTCAATAGCTTTGGCCCGTATTATCATGATAGATTACTAAATCTTAGAAAGATAGCCTCGTTTAGAACTTTAGCCAAGTGTTATACGGCTAATTATAGTACACGATATTTACATATTGACATACAATTGACGTTTTTTGGCAATTGGGATCGATGGACGGTAAATGTTTGCCTGATCTTTGGTATAATTTTGAACTAAGTTGAATTTTATTAAGAAAAGTTCATGTACCCTCACCTAACTATATCTGTAGGTGTTTTTGATCAGCTATATTATTATTTTCCTAATTTGGTAGAGATAGTATCTATAAATAACATGAATATAGAGCTGATTTTTGGAATAAACGTTCATTAAAATCTATGCCCTCTTGAGTTTTGTGGTTTCTTAAATGTTTAACACCAATCCAAAGTTTAAGAGGTTTAGAACATATATGTATTTTGAAAACTCTTCGAAAATGTTTGAATTGAAACTCAAAGAAAACAGTGACATTTTTTTATTTACTTCTCGTTTATTCCATAATTAACTAAACTAATCAAAACTATAAGCTTGTATCAAAGACGTTTTCTTTTATTTGATTACAACATTATAAAATTTGAAACGGACGAACACACAATAGCACAATGGCACCATTAAATTTTAACTCTTGATGAAAAACTCTTATTGAGTTTTGTTACGAAATTTTGAAGTAGAATTAGTAAAAATAAAATTAATTTGAAATAAACAATCTTCAAAAAAAATATTCCAATTATAACATTTTAAATTCAAAATACTTAAATCTCTTTCAAAAAAATATTTTCTTATTTTTAAAAAACATCCTACTCATAAAATGTTTCGGCTTAAAGTACAAAGGTTTGCGTAGGCAATAACCATCAAACTAATCAAGTTTTACTTTGCAAACGTTTCATTTTTAAATAGGGTACAGTTCTCACATTAAATCAGGCTAAAATGACCGAAAAAACGCTCCCTAAAGTCCACGCCCATTTTTATTAAATTCGGCATTGATAAATGAGTCCGTAAATATCACGGAAATTGTCAAAAAAGTTCCCGAACGCATTTTTGTCGTCAATATTCATTCATCACCTGACCGGATTCGCTCCCTGAACCCTTCGATCCAATGGCGTCGATTGTGGTGGGACGAAAAATGTTTGCCGCCTTCATTTGTATTTCAGAATCTACGGAAAAGAAACGCCCCTCTTGTACTAAAATAGATGAAAATTTACGACCCAGTTTTTGTTTTTAATGATGGCGCAATTAAATATGTTAATAATAATTTCGCTTGCCAACCGACGCCCATGGTTTTGTGGTTCGACTTTTATTGCCGAAGTTTAATTTGAACGTCAGAATTGGGGATTTTTGCTTTTATACGTCCATCGATTGCAGGCCTTAAGGTTTGGCATGGGAGTAGATCAAGATGCAATAAAACTTGCCCCGGAAGACATGTTTTCATAAAAGGGTGGATTTGGGCGCAAGCATATTTAGTTAAAACTCTATGAGTATGGAAGACATATGATAATATGGATTCTCTGTCTTACACTCTGACCTACACAGTAACTAACTTATCGGTAGACATTTAGGCCTCTATAGTATAAATTTAGAAACCAAAGGATCAGATGTTAGTGTATGTACACGGTGTTCAATTTTTGATGTTTTCAAACGCACAGGAAGAAGATTCCTATAAAGATAGAGAGTTACCGTTTGCGCAATTCTGGGCCCTGTTAGTAATGTACTTAGTTTAGTTTTTGATGCGTAAACCAAAATTGAGTTTTTAGTAATTATTTTTTGTGATTTATTCCTTGCCCTGGCCTTTTCGAAAAAATACCGTTATCTATATTTATTTTTGAAAAATGATTTATATTGAGTTAGACGGTCTCGAATACCTATTTAATTTTTGAGTTTCCATGATTACTTTAATTCTTCGCCGTATAATTAAATTAGAGGATTATTCTAAAATATCTCACGGTAGTTGTTCATTTTCCTCCTTCCTAAATTATGAAAATTGTTGACATAGAAGGAAAAAATATAACGTACTTTCGGGAGCTTTCCTAACTTCTATGGCCGTATGTCAACCTATTCTATATTCTATATTCCATAACTTGTGAAAATTGTACCTCATCGGACTATATAATTTATAAAGTAAATTTCATATTTAAAATGGAATAAAAACCATTTCAAATTATTTTATTGGATATGATCACGAAAATTACTCATTCTTAAATTTGCTTAAAAATTTCGATTGTGATGCCTCAGTTCAAAGTAAATGTAGACAACTATTTGGAAAATTCGAAACATTAAGGAAGAAACATGACTAAAATCGCTTTCGCTATTTTATGTGTTAACGTATAACAGGGGGCTCTGAACAGTAATTTTTCACTATCTGAAGTCCTTGTACCATTCAAAAGCTTCCGTTTCCTCAAAAAGTAAGCCAGAAATACGCAATCACTAACCTCCTAACTGAAAAACCTAAATACGAAAAATTGAAAACCCCGCATTACACGTCTGCTAGTGTATATATAATAGATACGTACTAATGTAATTCCCCAAAAACTATAGTCGCGTTTTTAAGTACCCAGTGTAACATCCGAAACTTTTTTGGAATAATTTGTAGACGTCGTTTAAATAAAGTAGTTTAGATTTTTTTTAATTGACAATAACAAGAAACATTTGTTAAATAATGAGAAAAATAGTTCAATTCTTGCTAAATACCTAAAACAACGTTCTTAATTGATGCAGGAACGGTTGCAATCGAACATATGCAAATTTAATTCTAATAAAATATATTTATATTATTTATTGGAAATCGGATCGGTATGCTTTGCTTGCGCCATTTTAACGGCTACCGCGAATACTCTGTAACTATGACCTATTACGTTGTGTAGAGACAGGGATGCATATTATGTTTTAACCAAATTGCATGTGCTAACAAATTACCCTAACATCAATGCTGTAAACATGTCAAAACCGACGCCGTCACTGCACGTATCACAATTCTCACTATTACATGCACTCGTAAGGACATAATCTAAGGCGTATTTCGACCGTGATCTGGAATTTATTTCTTAAATTTTGTGAAATAAGTTTCAGCTCAAGTGGTTCTAAATACTTTGCGGATGCAGGTGCTCTAAACGCCATTGGATAATTAGGGCTACACATTACATACTTGCAACTGAATACGCGTATACTGTTCAGTAAATAGCATTTGACTTATCTAATCTTGTATTCTCTCTCTGTGTTTTCAGTTGATTTAACCAATGGACAACTGACACCGAACAATAACACTCCACTGCTGACCCAGGCACTTTCAGGTAATTAACACAAAATTATTTGCACATTTGCAGGACAGACATCGGTTTGTATGCTAATTAACCAGTAGAACTAAGTTCAGCTAAAAGATTTGATGTTTCGCAAATAATATATGGTCTCACTTTCCTTTACAGCTTGTAACGGTTTCTGCCCTTAATTATTTTTTATATAAATTTTACCAATGTTCTACTAAATATGTGCATATAAATTTTCTTTTTACAATTCCGCTTAAAATGTATTGAAAATAGTGCGCAATTTTTAACTTCCAATTCAATTGAACGTCTATTTTCAATATTAGTGTGGCATACCAAAGAAAATATCCAAACTTCCTAACAATGCCCATTCTTTCAGAGACTAAGAATAATTAATAATCATTAAACATTTTTACATCATACTGAAAGTGAAGTATATTTTCTCTGCACACGTGCGGAATATTATCAAAAACAATTATTCGCTAAGACGAAGTTGGGGATTATCTTGGCGAACTTAGTTTAAATTGAAAAACTAATATACAAAGTGACAGAACAATTCCCATTGACGTGTTCCCATGGAATTATAAAGCTCACTGTATATTTGGGAAACATAAAAAAATGTTAATAATAATTACATTCTTGCGTGCTTTATGAAAAATTACGGTCATACAATAGGTACAAATTGTATACTTCATACTTAACACGAATACGAAAACTTAACTTTAATTCAATGCAAAGCGGATGTAAACTATCAAATAAATTCATTATATGTAGTATATATGTTTGCTTCATGGTTTGTTTGCTGATTAGTAGTTTTTTAATAATCATATCATTCATGTTAGAAGAAATAGATTTTTTTTATCGGATAGAGGTATATGTTTCGCACCAACAAAACTTTTAATGCATTGAAGTTTCTTATGTGAACTTTTGCAGCCAAAATGCAAATTAAGTTACTAAATACAAACACTTGTCATTGAATATCTGTGTCTATCGTATTGTGCCCCATTCGATTACGATTCCTTTCATTTTTTGGAATGGTCTTGAGCTTTTAAAAGATTTATGCGACCCTTTTTTAAATCGTTTTGATATTAGTGTGCGCCCATGAGACATTGCGAAATACAAAAGGATTTGAATAATTAGAATCTTGAATGTCCCCTGAGCCTGCTCATCCTTAATATCCATTTCCAAATAACTAATAACTACCAAATTGAGATTTTTATATTTAAATTATAACGTTAACATTTTGTAAGTTACCCAGCTTTGAATTTACTTTGATAGCTTTAAATAATGTTAAATCTGGATTGGTACATTTGAAAGGAAAGCAAATATCACTGTTTTATACAGGTTGTTTCAAAAAACATGCACCAAAGCTCAGCTGGAATTTCGTCAACCAAAAGAAAAAAATTTCACATAAACGTAGGTCCGGAAATACTTAGTTTCCAGAATACGAGGTGAATGTTGTGCGAAAATTCTTACGCCTTCGTAGGCAATGTCTCCGAAATGTAGTTATTGCCACCATAAATCACTTTGATCATTTTCTTTAGTATTAATTTTTTTGAACTAAGTTTATTGTGATCAAAAAATAAATGTTGATCAAAATACGTTATGTCAATTGTCATGATTTTTATTTAACGAGGCAAAACAACAACTTATGAGGTATTGTTATCTAGTTCAACAAGATAATAGCCGTTTATTAGTATAAATCCCATTCACATGAACTATTCTTTTTTGCTGATGATAATAAATAAAAGGATATGTTTTGACATATTACTTTAACACTTGACCAATACTTAAAAAAAATTACCAATAAATGAGTAATAATAATAATTATTATTATTATGATAATAATAATAAATTGTTTAATAGCCTCAATATTTTACCTTAAGATAACGCTAGATTCTACTGAGTACAGGACGCTTTACTTTAATTTAATAATATTCGATGATTCTTCAGATGATGTCGATGACGCTGATGAGGCTTGCGCTGGTTGTAGCGACGAGTATTCCAAAACCACAAAATCTGACGACTGGGTTCAATGCTTACGTTGCTCCAAGTGGTTTCATGATTCCTGTTCCAAGTTTGTTAACTTTTGCGATGAATCTGGTTTTCTGATGTGCAAAACAAAGTGAAATTTTGGCCAAAAAACTTTTTTTTTATTGCGCCAACTCACCTCAGCGAGATGGTTTTTGTAAACTATTTTTATTTTTTTCAAGAATTGAAACATTTATTTTTATATTGATTTTATATATTTTATACGCATTTCTAACTCGATAAAGATTCGTTTTAAAAAGAAACTGCAGTTATAATTTGATTCACAAATATATTAACATGAAATTTCAAAATCTGGGCCATCTATCCTCGAATTACTATAAATTAAATTTAAATTTTGGATAATTAAAAAAAAATGAGATTATCATCATACATTTGTGATAGAATTCATAACATTTAATTAAGTTTGAGTTACAGAACTCGTCTGCTACTTTAAGTGCTATTTATTTTGCAAATAACCCAGATAAAATAAAATATATTATCCTGGCCAACAAAAATAAACTGATCAAAAGAAGGGAACAGGAACCAAGATAATGGATTGCGTTTAATTTAAGTTGCTTTTACATAAAGCTTTTAAACTTAGTCAATAACTGTGGGACAATTTTCCGCTAACCAATTAAACAATTCATAGCCGAACTCTTTATATGTTATAATATTTTTCATTTCAGCAGAAATTATATTATATAATTTATCTTTTTTTGCAATTGGTTGTGTTAAGTTTTCTTTCGTTTTTTCTCTAGTAAACTTATCATAAGGGATGGGGTTGTTGAATAATTTGTTTTTTCTCATATGAATCATAATTACTTTATAGTATTGTTAGTAGTGCAATACTTAAAAAGCTGATCTGAGTGAGAGTATCGATTAAATTGAAATATAACTTTTTTCTTTTTTGAATTACGTCCAATGCTTTAAGATTACTTTATACGCACCGCCCCAGTCGATAATGCCGTATAGTAAAAGTGACTGGACCAACCGAAAATATAAGGAAAGATTTTCTTTTATTGAAAGAATTGGTCTCGTTTGGCAAAACTGCATCAACGGTGCAGTAAAGTTAAACACACTGAACTTTTTGTGCACACCGAATATCTAACCGATAGTCGTGGACTTAGCCTCGATTGAGCATGTAAATTGCTATTCTGCAAACTTTGTTAGTAATAACCAAATTTTTAAAATAAATAAGAACTAAAAGTTCAGATTGTTTTGACAACACACATGTGTGTTATCGAAACAATTGTCATGTAAAAATATATAATTTCGTAAAAATCTGAACTTTTAGTTCTTATTTATTTTGATAAATGGATTTTCATCAAGTAAAAGCCACCTTAGTTCAACATAATTTTGCTTTACAATTTAAATTTATGGATTATCAGAAAGTGCACGAGTGACAAAATTATCGTCCTGGAAATTATCAGAAAACGCGTCCTTTACAATGAGAGAGAACGTACAGTTCCTAGTGAAACGGGATATTCCGGACGCAAATCGACACTTATTGATCGTCGCCCCTTAACCCGTCATAATTCATCCCTCTCCACGGAATTTCGTTCGGTCCGTAAAAAAGGGAAAACGATACGGCCCGATAGTTTTTCATCCTCTTTTGTTCGTCAGACGTCCGGGCAGTCTCGGAGCACTTTGTTAGGTGTCACTTTCAGTGAAACAAACTTTGCTCGAACCATTAAACCCGTTTTCGGTCCTCTCTCGCGACCATCGTAAATCATGCGGCGAACAAAACGGATCTGGGTGGCCGAGACTGAGAAGGAAAACACATTCAAATCTAAAGCCCCCCACTCTGGCTATAACGAATTTGTGGTATTCAACAGGAGAAGTTAACTACTACTCTTTTACATACTTTTACAGCGTCAAAGCAAATAGTGTTATAAAACGTCACTAAAATATTCAATCTTAATTTCATGTCAAAAATTTCACGGTGTTGAAATATTAATATCAGGTGAAGTGGGTACTTAGGAAGGTCCGTACTTTAAGATAACCCAACTATGCATTGAGGTGTACGCAAAGTGGCACTTTAATGTCTCAATACTGCCGCGAGCTACCGATATTTTAGTCACGAGTTTAGGAGCGATCGGATGTTTACATATAGACTTACAAAACACTGATTGTAATTTACTTTTGTTAACCCCTCACTCCTTAAAGTGGCGTTTATTGAGAATAAAACTAGGTAATATAATAAAATGGTAGCCAACGAACTGATAAAATAAATAAAAAATAAACAAAATAAGAACAGTTTTTGGAACAAAACAAACTATACACAAGTGGTGTCAAGTCATATTGTATCATGCGTTCCTTCTCCGTAATCAATCCAATTTCAAAATAGAGAATATTGTGTTGCCGTATAGATTTTCCAAAAGATATAAAAAGTCAGTCTAGAAAATAATTAAGAAGAATGAGCAACCCCACATTAGTGGAATGGGAATATATTTTTCAAAAAACAATTAGTTTTAAAAACTATGTAACAATTAAAATTAATTTTCTTTAAAATGTATACATTTTTTATAAAGTCCTAATACCCAATTTTGTTTTAAAAATGGTTATGTTTCTAGTTTGGGATAAATGGCATTCCAATCAATCTTAAAACATTGCTTAATCTGACGCCGGAGATTGTTTCTTATGTTTGGAGAAACAGTAATAGTTCATTCAACATAATGTAGGATTGAGAAATCATTTATCTGATGAACATAAAAAACAGATTGGTACGTATGGTAAAGTAATTTTCAAGTAAAGAAGTTGAGAGAAGGTAATCTAAATCTAAATCTAAAAATTATCTTTATTTCATGCGAAGGATAGCACTAGTAGAAAGAAAACTATCTTCCATTCCCTCCTTTTTGCACTGGCGGAGTTTGAAATAAATCCCGTTATTTCAATATTTCTGGAAATAACGTTCTTTCTGAGTGGTGTGAAACTTGCAAACAAAATCCCGCACATAATACAGATTGCCTTTTTTTTTTAGGATTTTATATCTACCATATATAATTTTTTGGTTATTATTAGAGCTCCTAGTCGACAAGTCTCAACTCGTACAGAATTCTCATAGTCCGCAAATGAATTGCCATAAGCATTGAATTGTGTGTTAGTCGACATGATGAGATTTAAGAATGAGAAGGTTAGTTTTGACATTCTGTGTTCATTCTGAAATTCCAATCTTAAGTAATCTCAAACACTTAATGAAGATGTCCAAAATAGCAACTGCCAAGTTTTGATTAGATTTTAAAAGCTCCTCGTCTTTATCATAAGTACAAATGATTTTTAATCACTACAGTCACATATGTGAAAAATAGTTCCCTCACGGACTGTTGTTAAAAAAGTCTCAGCTTCTTGCGACCACGATATCTACCCTATTAAAAAAAATGCTTCTTTATTTTGCGTTTTACAATCAATAACATTCAAATGTCTACATTTGAAACGCCGATAGAAGCGCTTGTAATGATAATCATTCAAATGGTGTGAAATGGTCTTTCTTTGCAGTGATGAATAACTACCAAGCCGCGGCCGCCGCCCAGGGTTTCGGCCCGCCTGCTTCACCACACGCGGCTGCCGCTGCGGCCGCCCAAAACGCGTCCAGGGCCGCCGGATTCCCCGCCGCATCCAGTCCCGGACCGGCCATCGATATGTACAGCAGCAGCGGTGCCGGTCCTGGAGACAGCGTTGGCTACGTACAGGCAGCTAGTCCGCAGCCGTCCAGCTTTCCGGCCATCGCTGTCAGTCGGGCGCCACTTAACTATAGTCCGGTAAGTAGATTGATAAACTTTGCAGTTCGGTAAGATTTAGTTAGGTTTGCTGTTCCATAACCGTTCGTTTTGTCGTATTATCAATGTCCTGTCTTTTCACCATTGCCGGGATTGTTTTGTCATCTAACTGTTGATCGTTGGTTTTGCAATAGGTCTGGACACTTCACAAAATGTTTCCAATCATATGCCTTAGTGGAATATTTTGTCGGCGCCTTATTTTCTGAAGTTTCGGGCTCTGGTGCCAATAACAGCATGACTTGTTATCTCGTTCATCAACTTAACCTTCAGCTGGCGTAGTGGTCTTCTTGATCAAGTTTTGTTCTTTGTTATGAACTTAACTGCAGCGGTGTTGTCTATCCAAAAAAAAACAACCATTCAAAGAACCAAAAAACACTAACCATTGGCAGAACAGCTACGCTATATCTATTTTTGTATCATTCCGGTGTCACACTGGTACAGTATGACTACACCATCTATCATTAAAAATTACCTTCTACCCGGGCTATTGTTAAAGATGTGAAATTCAGCTACCGCATCTTCAGATACGAATCGATTATAAGTGGTAAAAATGCTAGATACAACCCGCAACAAAAACTGTTCTTGTTGGCACTTCCTCCCTCTAAAGAACTCGCTTGCTCAAGCGGTTTAAAAATAACTCGTGTGAAAAATCAGTTTTTAAACAACAGACAACCAGCTGCATTCTTTCGGCTAACCAAAACTAATCTTGCAGCGTACCGAACTGCATTTCAAAATTCGATTTCAAAAAAATGAAGTTTGTCATTTCAAATCTTGCATTCAATCGGTAAGACCTTATTACGTTGACATATAAATTCGACAGTTTTTATTCTGAAGGTGGCATTTTTTCGGCAGTATTTTCTCAAGATAGACACAGATCGCGTTACATGTTGTGAACAAAAACGAGTTAAAACTTCGCTAGTTTGCGAAAAGTGGTGATAACAGGCGAAAAGTGAAGGTTACTGTGTGAAAGTTACAGGCATACATGGAAACCATTTTCTTCTTTACGACAATATCATCGCCGTCTGATGCGCATCAATTTTACAATATTACGACCCTTACCCTATTTTATCTTAATAGCTATATGACTAATGTGAGAGCTACTCTACATTGAATTATATCGAAGGCCGTAAAAAATTATTAAATAGAAACAAGTTTTTTACTTAGCTACGCCTTCTCGTGCGGACTTGCGACAAACAGAACCATATTATGTCCGAATCTTTTTGAGCACAGAGTATGGCTCAAAAGTATTTCAATAATCCATATGCGAAAAATTAATTGTCATTTACTATTTGACTATTTTTATTTGGCGTTTTGGTTTCATTCCATTTTGTATTATATCAATTTTTTAATTAACTTTAATTTGTTTAACATGAAAAATTGTTTACGGACACATGAAAATTTGCCATTTACATATTCCAACTGTAGCTAGACATCGCATATCTTATAATAAGTCCGTTACAATTATACTAATAAAACATAATTCTATGATATGTTTTGCAATATAAACAAATTCTTCGGAATCAAGAATCTTAAAATCAGTTAACACCAAATTTTCGCAACCAATCGCTTTTACAATCTCTTAAATATACATTTTGCCTAAAATGTTTTTACCCAAGCGATTATTTTTCAGTAATACCTTATTCATTTTTGCCCGGAACGTTTCTCGGTAACCATTAAAACGCCCTAAATTCCCTATAAATTTAATATCAGGCCAGAGCGTTATAAATACACATTAAAATCCATCTGCATAATCATTAACGTCGAATAATTAGGTAATAATTTTCGATTTTAAGCGCTGTTGTTTATTCAATAAGCAGTTTTGAATCTATTTTTAGGGTGACTTCATATTTTTGGTTAATTTAGATAACGTACAATATAATTCCGAACTCCTCTATTGCTTTAATTGAGTAATCGATAACACAGAAGGCGCACGTTTCTCGAAATTTTATAAAGATGTTGCGGGTTCGCGATTAATTTTTGTTTCATTTCAAGCTAGTGATATTATTAATTATTACTATTATTTTGTTTTATATTTTACGTTTTATTTTTTATTAATAAATCGATAAATGTTCTGAATAAACTCTGTTCTTTGCTCCCCAAACGTTAGAGTTACTACAAAGTTAATATATGTTCAAAAAATGTTCCGTATTCATTAAAAATTTTGAAATCTTTACATTACATTAATTTCAACAATAATCCATCCATTTACATTTACCAGTCATCCAAAATTTGAGGTGGAGTTTTACCCGTCATCGTCATGGCGTAAATTATTTTGGTTCCAAATTCTATAATCATTGCTTTTCTTTTTTACAATAGAATAAATATTAAAATCTGAATCTTTCTATTTTAAAATTTACTTTTCCTGTTTCTTAAATAATTATCGAACTGTAAAATTTAGTGGTCTTGGTCGTATCCGATTCACGCTGTTCCAAAAATAGTTGACATGTATTCGAATATGACTTTAGTTGGACAGTCAACTATATATCACTTGTGCTCGAGGATAAACGCGGCCCCATCAGGGTATCAAAGAGAAGTACAGAAAAATAATACACTCGTATTACTTAAAAAAGAAATACCTACCTTGGAGGACCACTCAAGGAAATTTGAAAAAATACCTACGTCTTATTGTAAAAAATGACATCATTGGTTGGATTACTTCAAATAAAAACCAATTCAAAAATATATACTCAGAATGTAAGATTGTAAGTTTGAATAAACGAAAAAACCTCTTTGCAAATAAATGTACTGGGTGTTTTCTAATTGAATGTCACCTAAAAATTATTTTTACAATCTCCAATCATTTGTAAAGAAATTTAATTTCTTGATTTTTTTCAGTCCGATGTACGGTTTTCGCTTAAAAATATAAAAACCTTTTCTCCGCATGGTCATAACAATATCGTTAATATGACAGCATGCAGAAGAATTGGTTTTAGTTTTTAAGTGAAAACCGTGCGACGGACTAAGAAAAGAGATCAATTCAAATCAAATGTCAGTATTTTTCTTAAGGAAATCAGTGGCGTGCTGTCTATGAACAAATAATATTTTTTTAGTTTTTAGTTGCCAATTAGTGTCCTCCAGAAAAAAAAATAGGAAACTGTTCTTTTTACTTTTTAAAATTTTAAGCAAAAAATAATAATATAAAATAAATAATAATATAAATAAAAATGACCATGCAGAGAAGTGGTTTTTATTTTTTTTAAGTCAAAACCGTACATCAGATTGAAAAAAGTTAAAAAACTAATTTTCTTTTGAAATGATTGAAGATTGTAAGAATAACTTTTTTTTAAGATGCCATCAATGTCTGCCAAAATAGAAATGATGTAAAAAAATGTAGTACACATAGATCATTTCATTTTTGAAAATGTTGCCAATCCTGAATCCCAAAAGTTAAGATGGACCCAAAAATCGCTCTCTTAGTTATTGACATTCAGTTATAAAACACCTTGTATAACGGTACTTTGCCTTCCGCAATATCACTATGACTTGGTATGTGCGCAAGTAAAAGGGTTTATAGCTAGACATAACACCACTTTTAAAATGAGGGACGTTGAAACCCTCTTGTAAGACAGTGGACTATGAAAAATTAAGTACGTGGAACGTATGATTTAAATAGAAGATAGAATATGGGAAGCTGATAACATCCATGTATAGCCCCTTATTATTTCTCTGAACTATAGTTCATTTTACTATTCGCATCATGATCGAAATTTACCAATGAAGTTGTATTGTAAATAGTACATTTTGTTTATTACAATTTATCTATTTTCGTAATATTCTTATTTCTTTCTTTTAGTTTTTATTTACTTGATCATAGAATAATTAATATTTCAATTATTTGTCCATCTATGTAATTATAATCATGTATAATTATTATTATATTTATTATTCCAATAAACCACTCGCTATAGCATTACTTTCATTCACTAAACTCTCCTTTCTATTTTGTGCAAATTAAATTAGTGTGACCCTAAATTAAGGAATAAAAAACACTGAAACGGAATTTATCGTAGAATATCATTCTAATTTATCTGAACTTTATAATCCTTAAGTTGTGCACCCTGTCATTGCAAATCTTTATTTTATTACTCTCTCACATTAGGAGTTGCTACGGAGCAAAAAAAAAATCGATAAAAAAGCTAAAATTATCTTTTTTTTTTAATTTTTTAAAAAATATTTGAACTTTTACTTCTCTGCTAAATTTGAAGTTGATATCTGCAAATTTAGAACATTAACTTCTTATTTAGCACGGAATATCGGGAACACAGTGTACAATCGGTGAAAACCCTAAATATAAAAGTTTTTGCTGTCTATGCGGGGTATATCTCAATATAAAAGAAAGTGATATCTGAATCATAGTTTTTCAGTTATAACCAATTTTCAATAATAGGGGGACCTATTTTTGTTTTTTTTTTAAATTTGCGGCGCACTCTGTATATTTTTGAAAAAGTATCAAGAATAAAAGTTTATGGAGCCGTATCTTCTGCATCTTTTGGTCTCGTGAACGGTTTTTGAAAATTGATGTTTTTTGTACACCCTGGCACACACGATTTTTATTTTTTTTAGAATACTTCCCGACCACCCAGCCTCCCCCCCCCATTTTCAATAAGTTCCGTCACGGGGCAAAGCTGCATATATGTGCCAACTATGAAGTCGATTGCTTCAAATTTCGGACACTTATCGTTTTTCATAGCAATGTCCCAAAAACAGTCGAAAATCGCGAAAAAAAGATGGATACGGGCGTCGGATCGACATTTCTTATAAGCTTATTGTGCCTCGTGGAGGGTTAAAAATGAGGCAAATTTTAATTGTGTAGCTCCAACGGTTTGAAAGTTATTCAGGAAAAACCAAAAGACGAGAACGGAGCAGGATTTTTGAAAGTAACAAGCACTAATATTTTTTCCTAAGGATAAGTGAAAACAAGCAGTTGAAAGAACAGATCATATTGAAGTTGCTATTAAAATCTGTAAAAATTTTAAATATAGACCGAATAGGCCAGATCTAGTGCCGAAAATAGCAAATTTGTTAAACAGTTGTAAAAACTAATGTAAAGTCATCTTAACGCGCACCAGATATTTAATTAGAAATCGCCTTAGGAAACAAGTCAGAAAATTGAAAAGTGAACTCTGTAGATTATTACTGGTTATACGAACATTCTTTTTCATTTGTTGTTTTACATATTAAATAAAAAATACGTTTTCGATTTTGGTATTTCTTCCTTTTTTCCTTACCATTGTCTTAATATTTTACGATGTCTTGGCTTCATTTGACAAGACTAATGGCCCAATAAGTTCTTGTTGTCCAGTATCATTTGTTCCAGGAAAAGGAACTATCTTGCAAAAATTATTATAGAATCTTCTTCTATTTCAGGGCCCGCTTATTCCGGCCGCCTTTACAAATGGCTATCACTGAGCTGCCGCCTACCGACCGTACAGAGTCGTCGCGGCCCATATTCCGCTCCCTATCGGCAGCTACAGCTGTGATTGCGTCATCACAACCAAACCTGCACTTGTACATTCACCTCTATATGTATATTGATAATAATATATTAATTACTATTTAGCACCCGCTGAGCGGTTACCACTCGTTGTTGTATATGTTTGGTGTTTGCCAATCGCTTTCCGCCAGCCGACGATTGCCGAATTGCCGACAGGAAGTCCGCCTTGAAAACACTCGGTAAGTTAGGTTATCTTGTGTGGCCGTACAGGCATTTTAAAATTCGCGATGCGGTCTACTAAAACGCATAAGTAAGATACTGGCGGTCGGAAATAGGAAGGGTCGATTTATAAACTTGATTTAGCCGTTCCATGCGGTCACCGTTGGCAGTTAAGATTAGTTTATATATTTTCATTCTAACCTTACTTTTGATGCTTGTTTCTAGAAGAAACAGTAGCTATCTATAAGTGCAAGAAATAATAGTTATCCTATTATATTCTACGAACTTTTTTTATTTTAAAACGTGTTTTTTTCCAAAATGTCTTTTTATTTTTGGATTTATGTTGAATTATTGAGCTACCTTTAAGTCAAACCATGTTAGTTACCCAACAGTGTTTTATTAAATAAACGTGAAATATTTCTTGTAAATAAATGGCAACATAATTTCTCCTACTAATATAAATTGTTACCTTATAAATAATATAATATATATATATATATATATATATATATATATATATATATATATATATATATATATATATATATATATATATATATATATATATATAATATATATAACATAAATATAAGTGACATCTAAATATTTTATAATTGGCTAAATCCACCTTATGTTATATCATCAAAACATAAATCGGGCTAAACGTAAGATCCTCGTCTTTATCGATTCGGCAACTGTCGTAATGGCGGCTTACCCCCTCCACCAAACACAGCACTATATTGGTTAACACTTTGCGTTTCTAATTACATATGATATATTACAGGGTATCTCTATAGGATACATTATCCTTACATATTATTAATTAAGGACCAATCGGGCAAATACCTCGGTCGTTCGACCGATGAGACATTGCCGTGGTATAACTTTTCGGTTTTGTTTTTTAGTAGATCGCTAATTTGAGGAAGTTTTGCACCTGAAAACATCGTAAAAGGTAGCGCCGGGTAGTTTAAATGGAATCGGGTTGAAACGAAATTTGATATTATTCGCTCTTGGTCTAATTTACTTTTTGAGGATATTGATGGACTCAATTTTTTTTTAACTTGGTGCCATAATTTTTTCTTGAAAAACTAAGAAATTGCATTAGATATTCAATTGTAACTAATAAAGCGCAAAGAATTTACTATTCAACCAATTTTTATTTTTCAAGTTGTTTATTAATTGTTTTACTAATTACTTTGGGAATATTCTTAACACATTGCCAGAGAGCGATGACGAATTTGACAATATTTTTTTATTCATTAAACATAATTTCTATTGTACGTGATACAAAATGTACCCAGTACCTAGATTTTGTGGAATATTTATTACAAATTATGTTATGATTTTTCAAGTTTTAAGTTTCAAGATAGGGCAAAACTTACATTTGCCAAGTTGGATGTTTTTCAGTGCAAAGCCGCTTTAAATTGCGTATAGTTCATTTTTAACCGGCTAGTGTTGTTTTATATAAAGAATTTTATTTCATTGATATAGTATGTTATGGTTATTATTTAATATATTCTAAAAATCATATTATTGTAAGTAACTTTTCATTGTGTTAATCTTCGCTCCGGCGCGGTACGTATACAAAAAGAAAATATTAATTTGATAATATTTTTAAGATATTTGTATATATTTATTGTTACTGGAACGAACCACGCAGATTAATTTTATCGTTTTTAATCGCAGACGGGCTCGGGGGAGAGTTTTAACCATAAATATAAAGCTATTTTTTTAACAGAAACTTAGTTATCAGTACATATATATATTTTTCTTTGTTGTATTTGTCTATACTTTGAATAGATTAATGTTAATTAATATTTCCCCACCGGCCGCGCGCGCAAACGTATGTAAATTTTTAAATATTTAGTTGCACAAAAATAATCACGAAAAGTTGATCACGCTTCGTTTTACGGAATGGCTTGGTGCTTGCGATTTTTTTAAACGTATATAACCAACGTGTAATCTGTGTGGTCCGGCGATACTATTCAATATAGCTTCTAGATTTTAATCCTATCCGTATTTTCCCTCATAGTAAACCTAGATCTGTCTAATTGTTAGGCTAGGCGAGATCAATTTTAAAAATTATAATATATTAATGTTTCTTGTTATATTGTGAATATTCTATATAAAAAAATGTCGGATAACGGACGCGTTGAGAGTTATTCATACAATACATGTGCGCGTTTCTGTGGTTATTATATATTATATAAAATTTATAATTATTATTTTAGGTACGGCGTCCGTTATTCCGAATCTAATTTTTCCACGTGGTTATAAGGTGTTATTCATTTTATTTTGTTTTTATTTATACATTTCGCCGGTAACGGGCTTGTTGACGAATGTGCGGCGAAGCTAATAAAAAATTGAATTTTAATAAATTACCGCTTTTCTAAACAAAATTGTGCAACCAGAAGCAATTGTTAAAACTCCTCTCCTTTTTTGTATGCCCTGCCAGGATAAACGCACAAAATTGTTATTATTAACTAATTTTTTGCTTTTATTTCCTTTATTATCTGCTAAATCATTCAGCTCTTAAATGGAAAAAGCAAAGAAAAATCATTTAATTTCAAAAATATGTTTTCGAATTACAAAGAAACACATTTATCGGAATAGGCCACTTTTGTTCTCAAGTAATTTAATATTATCAATTTTTTATGGCTCGTCCTGTATAGAAAAAATGTCCGACTGAGTCCAGATTGCTCGTGTAACGTTTCCTCAGTACAAAAACAACCACGATAAGTTAATCACAGTAATATATATATATATAAATATATAGTCCGAAAGCGGGATACAGGGGGAACCAATTTTTCGAGTTCATTTCGGTTAATTCAGCGACTCTAGCAGTGAATTTTTATACGTTTTTCTACATTTAGTTGACCTAAACGCGTTGAAAGTTGTAGTCGGGTGCGGCACGCTTGAAGTGGAAAAAAATATTGGGGCGCCCTGTATAATGTTACCGTCGCCAGGTTTACGTTGCCGGATTACCACCGGGTTCACAGTAGAAGAAATGGTCAGTACTAGGAGAATCGTAGGTATTTACATAGGCTACGAAATCAAAATGCGAATGTGAAATTCAATTGATGTACCTGAGTGACTATTATTTAAATTTAAAAGGGTCAGTTTAATATAGTTTCTTCCGCATTATTTAGATTTAAGTTTAAGTGTAATCAAACATTTCTTCCATTACAAAAATCGAAAATTTAGTTTTTAGTCACATCAATCGTATGATAGGATTCCGAGTTACTGAAGCAGCCTCAAATGTATTACAGCAAGATATTAACACAGTGGATCATAATAAATTTTGAACTTTTCCGAACGCCCGAGGGATCAACAACACCTGTTCAAGTTGCGGTAGTAATGATATTCAATAAGTAAGTTTCAATTAGTTTTAATAAAAACGTTAGCAAGTTCTTTTGACCAAAGTTTGTTTAATATATATTATTTCAAACAAACTTTCGACAAAGACAAATCTTTTAACCTCTGAATACGGCCTAAGAAATAGAATGCGCTAAGCATTACTTAAATACCAAAATTTAACATCATAACATATTGGGAACCCATCACCTTAAAAAAGAGTGTTAAATAGAGATTTTGCCATTTTGCCAATAAATTTTCTTCTTCATTTATCAGCATCTAGTTTGGGATCTGAATATTCCGCCACAACTTTCTTATAACCCTACTCGTCGACATATTGGAAAAAAAGCGCTGAAATCGAAAAACATGTGTGGACTAACAGCCCGGTTATCTTTTCCGTTGTCGGTTTTTAACCTGGTGCGTTTTAAACCCAGCGTCGTATTGAATTTCGCCATACCATCCATTGAACAATAGAGATAATCTGCGCGTTGAGCTCTTGACGCGCATGTTTTTTGGCGTCGGGTGTTTTACTCTTATCTAAAAAAGAATAATTCAATTTTGTTAACTAAATAGGCACTCGATTGTGTAAACCAAACAAAGAACAGATATCAAATATTACTATTTCATGTTTTTTGAAATTTGAAGTTGTTTTTGGGGACCTTTTTCTTTTTTATAACTATAAGATCATTGATAAACACTATCTAAGGAATATTGAATCGATGGTTCTTAAATTTCGTCAGTTACACCAGCCAATTAGGTTTAGGTTTAGTTATACGGTGTTCAAGTTTTGGCGACGTCTGTTCAAATTATCGAGTGTAATATGGGGTAATCGACATTTTAAGCAGACTATTTCAGTTTGCAACATGGTTATGTCGCGATTCCTGTGATCAGCTGGTATAGATAAATCATATAACTGCTTCAACCAAAATCATTATAAGCGACAAATGTGTTATAAATAAATAAGCATTTAAATGTTCTAACTGTTTTTGTTAAGTGCAAAATAATTTTCCTACGTTAGGGCAACTCTTACCAAAGATGAAGAAGCCACTTCTACTCCAACGAACTATTTGCGGGCAGTTTTGTTTATAGCTTAGCGATCTATTTTAATCTGTAGATAGGGTAAAAAAATTGTCGATGCCAAATAATAACAAACAAAAAGTCTTAACGCGTTAGATAACCAATTTCCAAAGAATCGGAGGCGTAAACGTGGCGCGGCAACAAAACGACTGGCACATAGATAAAAAATATTGTAGCGGGTAGGAATCAAACGTTTCCGTGAAACGTTTTCGATTTTAGGTATAAGTGACCTCAAACGCAAGGAGTTGAGGCCTCTCGGATGGATAACTTATAAAAATGACGTCAGAACAATACGGTATTATTTCGTCTAGGTGAATTAGGTAGGTAGTATTTGGTCGACGCACGAACAAGGTATTATTTTTTGGGTGAAAATGTCAATTACGAAAGTGATTCGAACGGTCAAAGCTGATTTGTAGGATCTCATTTTGGCATCATTTTTCATAATGTGGATTCGAAAACAATTATTCGGGATCCTAAATCGTTGTGTTGTATTCGATCAGCAAAATGTACTGACGATGACGGGTCAGTGCAAAAAATTAACCGATGAGTAATGACCAAAGGTATATAAAAATGTCAATATTTAATGTCAATGCGGATTACTTTTTGCGTTTCCACGGTATTTTATAATATTGTGTCAGTGCAGAGCAATACGTAGTTAGTAAACAAAAAGTAAAAACAAAAATGTACATGTTTCCGTTCATATATTTTGATATCTATAAATCTGTGTTATTTTTGCATTAAGTGGTAGAGATAAGTTAGCAAAAGACAAACTATTAGAGGATCGGTCCATGGGGTTTTCATCCCAAAGTTAAGGAATTTTTATTTATGTTTAGGTATTTGTGTTGACTGATTTCTTCTTCCTTTAGATTGCCCGATAATTAAATTTGTTTAAAACTTTCAAATCAAAGGTTTTAAGGGACAAAGTAAAGATTTATAATATAAGCCCCTAATCTACAATCAAGAAATTTACATACTCGTTTTGTTCCCGTATTTTAAAATTGCAATACTCCCTCCTAACAGGAAAAGACGGAGATGAATATCTATAAAATTTATATTTTTTAAAATTAAAAATTTGGACCAATACTAAAAAAAATGTAGCTTTCTGCCACTGGGAAATCTATCGAAGAAAAACGCAGTCCAATTCGAGAGACGATATTATTAATATAATTGTAACGAACTAGAAACGGTTGAAGACGGGTAAACAAGCATGTAAAAAAAATGAACGCCTACAAACTAGGTAGAAAATTTTAAAGAAAGTTGTACTAATATAGTTACGTTTTCCCCATTGATTTATATAATTTCGACAAAGATGATCTCAATGACGCGGTAGATGTTTCTTTTATCGATACGTTATAGGTAGAACAGCTTTTATGGCCTAAATTTAACCGATGAAAAACGGACCGATTCAAACGCCGAAAGCTTTAGAAATGCCAGAAAATTCCGCGGAGGTTCATCGTTTGTTGAAGACGATGGTTGTCCGATAAGACCGATATAGAGGTAGGTCCGTGTAATAAGCTACGCACTGCGCCTAATAAAAGACGTGTCAAATAAAATACCAACATATCAGCTAAGTTTACACGGATGTTTCGGCAGAATAAAAACCAAACAAAAGGATCGCGTCAGAAACGACAGAAAATTAATATACGTCGAAATTTTTGTTTTAATTCGGATTGTTTAAACGTTGCATTTTTTTTGACGCGATTCTTTCAGTAGAAGATTTTCGATTACCCACTTCAATGTTTTAATCGTTAAACTACACTAGCGGCGGTGTAGTGTCACTAAACGGTGCGGCAAATTTCTTATGAAGCAACATTGAAATGTATCGACAAATCTTCACTCGTAGTCCCCTAGTGACTAGGAAATAAGTAAATCATATAAACGTGTGTGTATTATTTTCCAAAAAAAATGGGAATATATGATTATCTCGACAATATTGATCCACTCACTGTGAGTTTCAGTTATATGTTAAAATGTATATCGTGGGCCTTATACTGTACACTGAAAATTAAAAAAAAGTGCTGTCCAAATTTTAACTACTTTTATTTTATAGCTTCCGCGTTTAGCTTTCGTCGGTTTTCGTATCAAGAGCGTCTTGCCACCGTACGCAAAACCTATGAACGCTAAATCCGAAATAAAAAGTATTATCGGGTGAATCACATGTAAACAGAGTGTGTGGACACCCCTTTTTCCTTTCTTTTTCCAATTAACATATAAAATATAAATGTGTTTCTTACTTTGATTTCTTTACACCCGTTATTTCATTAGATGTATACAAGCTGTGTATATATTGATATTATGATATACATATATATACTCTAATTTAATTACAATTGTAGCTGATAAATACTGTGGCACGGTGGCGCCACCTTGTGTATTGCCACACTATTGTCCCTGTGTTTTTGCAATTCTCCCGGTCCATTCCTTCCACGCGCGCGCCGCCGCTTTAACGCTCGGGTAGTTAGAAATTGAGCGGAGCCGCCCTCCGCGAAGAAAAAGTCGACCTAGTTAGTTTAAAGCAGAAAGCAGGGGCGTACGCGTGATTCAGTGTTAAAGTATTTCATTGTATAGCCAATTACGGCTTGTACGCAATATAAAAGAGCAATAACCATACTCCTTCTGTGGAAGCTTTTAACTTTTACGATTAAGAATTATAATATTATATTATTGTAAGTAATTTTAATGAACAAGATTTTACACTATAATTAATAAGAAGAATGCGAATGGTTAATAAAAGATGATTTCTGTCGCAAAAAAAATAGAACGATTGTACAGATAGGAGTTTGTAACATAAGAAAAAATTTTGTTGTTCTGGTCATGTGGACCCGAATTTTGTCGTCTATTTGGCTATTTTAACGCCCCTAAGACGGGCCTTCATGTATAACTTACTACAGTACGTTCTACAATGTACATACATATAATTATTATTACAATTACTACTATAAGAAATGAGGTTCACAACGTGCCGTGTGTGTATGTGGGAATTAAAATAATATACTATGGACATTGTTCAAAATATATACGGAAGTTTTATTTCTTGATCCGTTTCCTCTTCGTTTAAATAAAAAAATGCAAAAAGGTGGTTGGTTCAAGGTAAGTAAATTGATTTTAAGTTAGGTTTCTTACAACTATTTATATCGCCTTCAAGCGGGTCGATAATTCCAACCCACGAGTGTTGGAAGTGTTTTCGCAGTGCGAGCATTGAAGGTGCCAAGTGAGATCTTAGCGAAACGTCTGCCGGATTCCAGTCGGAGTTCAACAAATGAACGGATAATATCCCGGAATATATTGTCATCACATTTTTCCATCCGTGAATCAATACGTGAAAATATATATATATATATATATATATATATATATATATATATATATATATATATATATATATATATATATATATATACTGTTCTTGAATAATGCGTTCCTATATCTGTCACCAACAATTTTCGAAAAATTAATTACTTTCTTCATTTTTCCGACATAAACAGAGCCTCAATTAAATGTTTATTACTACGACACTGGAACCAGTAGGAAGTTAAAATTTTGAACATAGCTTAGGGAGGTATCGAACAGAATTTCTAAATGTCGAAATTAGTTCTACATTATGGACGGTTGGTCAAAACTAATGATTTGCGTACCCAAAACAAAAATAGAGAAAAGTTTATATTTTAAACGTAACATCCTGTATATTCTATAAGCAAATTAAATTCCCTTTGGAATGATGTATTATGTCCCTATACTTAAATCGTTTGGTTTCTGAAATAAAAGCAAGTTCCTGTGAGATCTGATTACTTTGCCATAATTCATCTTTTTGGTGGCCGACAAAAATTTTCAGAAGGAACACTTGGAATTTTATAGGAAATTTAATTTAAGTATGTTTTGCTTGATCATAAAGTATTTTTTTTAATTTACAATGGACCATTGAACGCTGCAAAATACCTTTCAATATTAATATTAAGGTAAATAATTTTCTTTAGAGAATTAGTAACTTCGGACCTCTTAGTACTAACTAGATGAGGCATAGGCTCACTGCCACAAGAATTATAAGAATTTTTTAATGACATTGGTTTCGAAGTTCAGATTTTCCAGCAAGATCGCCCGATCTCACGCCATTAGATTTTTACCGATAGGGTGCGTTAAAGTCAGGCATCTATTTGACACCGGTGCAGAGCAAGAAAGAGTTACGTCATCGAATTGTACGATGCTTTGAATAAATAGATCCATGGGAAATAAAGAAGGCTACGACCACTTCAACGAATTTTAAAGTGTTTAGAATGGAGTGGTGGACACTCAACACCTAATATAAAAATTGGTTTCAATTTTCTGTGTGCAATTTTTAAATACCTAATATTTTGTTAGTGTAAATAGTTTTTAAAATGGTCTGTAAAGCTTTTCCTAATTTTCGCAAACTTTCTCTTGTTCATGTATTGTAAATCAAGATTTATTTCATTAAATTATCTGCATGTTTTGGCTATAATGTGGTTGCATTGTCCATGCACAATAAACAAATTTATTAAATCTGCATTAAAATACTGGTTTTCATTCATTTTGACCCGATTTTATAGACAAAATTTGCACAATCAATAATAAATTGAATTAATTGAACTGTCAAACGGAAAATGAATTGTTTAACATAAGACGGATATTTCAAGTAAGTAACCTAGTTTTCAGAGAAACCAACTATTGGGACATGATACATCATTCGAATTGTTATTTAATTTGCTCTTAAAATTTATGATAATAGACTGCATGGTCCATTAAAAAAAATGAAATTTTCACCATTTTTGTACCTCGTATGCATATGATAAGTTTTGACAAACCCTATATGATGTAGAACTAATTAAGAAATAATTTGCAGCACCTCCCTCCAGTGCCCTACCAAGCTGCGCTTTTTAGAAAAATATTAAAAAAATAATTTCTCGAAAATCAACTAAGAGAGGTATAGCGAGCCTATTATTCAAAAATAATCATAAAATATTAGCGGATCGTAAAATAACAATTATACATGGTACCTCATTTAACATTTTAATGTTGATGCTACTTTTTTTTGCCTAAAGTTCGGTGAAAACACTACAGTCCTCGTAAATGTAAAATGTAATGGGCTTTATTCGTGAACTTATCAAATAAAAAAAAAATAACCGTTATATTATAAATGTCGCCTTTGTTTTAGAGATAAAGGCCAGGGGCGCAATTATCGCATACGCGTCGACGGTGTGATAATCTGCGCTTCCGATCCGCTACCTCCGTCAGTGTGGAAGTTTATGGGCGGCTATTACATCCCCCGCTCATCTAGTATAATTGTAGTAATGTGGTCAAATTGCCCAAGCTGAAATCAAAGGTGCGTATAGGCATAATGATGAATTTTCTAATTGTCAATATATTATAACGATAATAGTCATAGTTATTGTCATATTAACAAATAAAACACCAAGGGTGGTCAAAAGAATATACAAACCACAACTAATTTACCGACGGCTATTAGCAGACAGCAATAATACTTTTATATAAATATATATAAAAATATCGTAAACGAACTCCTTCAATTTAAGGTAATATCACAAGACGTCAGAGGTATTGACACAATTTTAGATGAAATTTTTATAGAAACAATTACTAAATGATTTCTATATACTTAAGGACTGCTCGGAATTTGTATGAAATTAATAAAGCGATATGTAATTAGGTAAATTGAGATATCTATATGTCAATAACGCACGTACATTGTTATCGATGTAAATAATTTACATTTACATTGGCACTGGCATATAAATACAATAATATCATTAAAAATTATCACATTATCAAAGGTTAAAATATTAGATTTTTAAATCTTATAAGCGGAATCACAAATATCAAAAATTGCTATTGTTATTCGTATTATAAGCAGTGGAACAAAACTCATTAGTGAAGGTGACATCCGTTCCAATACACACCGATAAAGAAATGTCCAAACCGAAATATCGCATTTTTCAAGCCATTTCTGCTCATCTTACTTTCACTTGG